CTGTACCTGTGCACATGCTCTGGTCTAGACTGCAGTAAGAGGCAGGACTGCAGGGTCATGAGAGTGGGGGTGAGGAAGCCTCAAGGAACCAGAGAAATATTGCATGTTTCATCGGTGCTATACTGCAGCCTGGCTGACTCATCTCTTCTCTGTGACCCTTTGGTGAGGGGATGTCCCATTTTCTACAGGTGGGTTTGAGGAACTCACAGCTCTGAGGCAAAGAGATGTAGGAGGAACTGGTTGGAAATGCGAATGCCATGTCATACTTTGGGGAACCCCTCTGGGGCTCGGGGACTCACCAGAAGGACCCACGGAACTCAGAGAAGCTGCTACCCAGGTGGCTCGCAGTTCACGACAACAGAAGGATGTAGGTTAAAATCAGCAGAGGGAGGAGAGGAAATAGGGCCCAGGAACTACCAGGCCTGACCTCCCACCCAGCTGCCCTCCCCGGGGAGTGTGCAGATGGCTCTGACTTCTCCCAGCAAGGATGTAAGACAACACAGAGCCCTGCCAACCGTGGACGCTCCCCTCAAGCCTGGATGTCCAGGGGCAGTCCTACCCGGTCTGATGGGGTTGCTGTGAGTCAGACTCGGCTCAATGGCAGTGCGTAGTCTCACTGGAAGCAGGCTCCCACGTCTTTTTTCTACAGAGTGGCCGGTGGGGTCTGCCCACTGACCTTGAGGGGTAGCCACTGGGTCCCTAACCACCGTGCAGCCCGTGGTACTGGATGGGGGGAACCGCAGAAGGATTTTCTTTTTTAAACATGGCGTTTCGTTGCGTTTCCGGTGAAGGTTTACAAGCTCATCAGTTTCCAAGTAACAAAGGTGGTGCAGACCATCCAGTGATGTCGGCTACTCTCTTCCTGACACACGGACAGACGGTTTCACGATACCCGCTTTCACGATACCCGTTCTGGTTGTTCCATTTACATTTATCTAGTCTCCCTGCCCCCTTTTACATTTCTCACCTTTTTTTTAATGCCTCCATTGACTCTACGGTCTCGGATGGATGACTTCTTAAAGGCGTATAGTACTCCTGGGTGATCCTCTTCATTTTGGGAGCCCATCTGTTATTTAGTCAAAAAGTGACCTCAGGGGATGTCTCCTTCGGTTCCAGGTTTAAGGAATTCCCCAAGGCAATCGTTTCAGGGAATCTTCTGGTCTTAATGAGTCCAGGATGTCTTTTGTGGTTGTGGAAAAGACTGGGAGATCGAGTCCACCCGTTTCTCTCATTCTATCAGAATCCACCAAAGGTGGCCCTGAGCAGTGTGGTTGACGGTGGTAGCTGGGCACCATCCAGTTCTTTCAGCCTCAGGGTAAATGAGGCAATGGTTTGGGAGGTGGACTATGCGTCCTGTAGGCTAGATTCTTCTTTGAGGTTTTTTGGGTTTTGTTTTTTGGTTCCTCTCTTCTGTTTTGCTCCAGACAAGGACGAGCCTAGTAGTTGTATTTTGGATGGCTGCTCTGCACAAGAGTTTTAAGCTGGGACGTTCTCTCTCCAGTTCCTGCTGCCAGGAAAGTCCCTCTGGTGGTTGATGAGAACTGGAGGGAGAGAAACAGGAAACAGAGGGAAACCATGCAGAAGGGACAGGAAGCGAGGTCCCGACTCAAGGGGGAGGGGAGGCGATGGAGAGATAGGGTTGAATGCAGGGGTCGGGGACACAGGAGAGGTCAGCATTATGTAGATTAGAAGTGCCAGGAAGGTAGGGCATGATGTCTGGGTTTGGCTTGTTCCGGCATGCCCAAGGGCTAGCGCGCAGCAGGTGTCTGTATACATTTGTGAGGAATGGATGGGTGAACGGCCACAGCAATCCATGAGTGGGAGTACCGGGAGGTGGCCTGAAGCAGGATAGGAAAGGCAAGGAGGAGCCTGGATGAACGGTCTTCTCATCATGGTGTCTGCCACCTTTTTTCCCCTCTCTCTTTCCCACCCGCCTTCTAGGGACCCCCGGCCTGGACTCCATCTCAGATCCATTCAGCTGGAGTTGGATCCCCGAACTAGGTCGAGATCAGGATGCGTGGCTCCCGGGGGAGCTGGCCACTAAGCCCCCTGCCAGGCTTACCACTAGTGCTCCTCAGAGAGTAACCACAAAGGCCCCCCGGAAAATGCCCAAGAGTACTAAGAAGTGGGCGACTAAAAACGCAAAGAGACCGACCACTCCATCTCCACCGATGCCAACCACTAAACCTTCCAGGGCCCTGGGCACCCCAAGTCCCCCTGAAGTGACCTCACGGGCCACCACAACCCAGACCACCGACGTCTCCCAACGACCACCCTCTGAGTTTACCACGAGGCTGAGCACGGAGGGCCCCAGCAGACTGACCTCACATCCCACGGAAACCCTTACGCCCCAGGCTTCCCAGGAAGTGACTTCTGAGGCCATGGCCATGCCGGCCACTCAGGGCCCCCGTGAACTGACCTCGGAGGCTGGCATCAAGCAGATCCCTCCGGCCTCGGTGGAGCCATCCTCTGAGACCCCAGCAGAGGGATCACCACAGCCCTGGACTGAGGTCTCCCCCTCCCCCACCGACACCGTCCCCGGGGAAGCAGGTGAGAGGGACGAGAGTGTGACAGCGAGCGGGGAGTGAGACAAAGGGAGGCTGACCCCTCCTGACCTGAGTGGGGGGGGCGTGTCTTCTACTGGCAGGCCCCTTCCTGGTTCGTCTGGCCGACGGACCTAACCGGTGCGCCGGCCGGCTGGAAGTGTGGCACGCCGGACGTTGGGGGACTGTGTGTGACGACAACTGGGACCTGCGGGATGCCACCGTGGCCTGCTGGGAACTCGGCTGTGGAAGGGTCCGGGCCCGAGTGGGCAAAACTCACTACGGCCCAGGGACCGGGCCCATCTGGTTGGACGATGTGGGCTGCAAGGGCACCGAGGCATCGCTCAGCGACTGCCCCGCCGGCACGTGGGGTCGACACAACTGTGACCACGAAGAAGACGTGGGGATCATGTGCACTGGTAGGGCGGGCGGCGGGCGTGGTGGCAAGGGGTCATCAGAGGGCGGTGCTTGGGCAGGATAGGCCATCATGGTGGGAGCTAACAGTCTCTATAGGTGGGGTGTGTGTGTGGGGGGGTTGAGGGAGCCCACGAATCTCCAACCCCCCCAAAGGGAGAAGCAATAGCAAGGCCTTCCGAGGCCAATGATGGGGCTCAGCCCTTTACCCTGTTCCTCCCCAGGATACACAGATGAGGAGGATTATCCTCCCTGGACCTGGGACCCCACCTCGGGAGAGGACTTGGCCAAAGGGACCGTCGCTGCCAAGGCACCTGGACAAACTGCCACCTGGAGCACCACCAGGAGCTCTCAGGCTCCGACAGCAACGAGCCACCTTCCGGACACAGGTGAGGAGCAGGGCCGTGCGGGTGGGGGGTGGGCTTCAGAGACTGGCTCTCTGCTGGACTTCCGGGAAAGCCCTTCTGAATGAGCTGATTGAGACCCCCATCCCACAAAAAATGTTCTCTCTATGGCCTTGACCCTAACATTGTCCCCCAGGACCCCGAAGAGAAAATGATCACTGGTCCCCCAAGAGCCCTGGTGGGGGTAGCGGTTACGTATTGGGCGGCTAATGATAACCACCACAGTTTGAGACCACCAGCCACGCCTCCCTTGAGGGGTGAGGCTTTCTACTCTCATAAAGAGTAGAAAGCACCCTTGGAAACCCAAGGCAGCCATTGAAGTCTGGGGGAGGGTCAACGGGAGTCAGGATGGGTTCGATGGAAATGAGTTTGGGTTCTCTGGCTTTTATTTTATTATTAGTATCATTATTTTAATCATTTTATTGGGGGCTCTTATAGCATTCCATACATCAATCATATCAAGCATACTTGTACATAGGTTGCCATCGTCGCTTCTAAAACATGTTCTACTTGAGTCCTTGGTATCAGCGCCTCTTTTGTCCTTTCCCTCCCACCCTTGTGAATCCTTGATCTATTATTTATTGTGATTATTATTTCGTATCTCACTGTCCATGGTCTCACGTCAACTACATTTGTTATTCATCCTCTTTGGGGGGCGATATATCCAACCTTGTGATGGGTTCCCCCTTTGTCCCCCTTTCCCGTCCTGGACCATCCCCCCTACACTCATGAGATCGCTACTCCCATTATTGTTCCTAAGGGGCTTATCTGTCCTGAGTTCCATGTGACCAGAGTTCTAATCTGTACCAACGTGTGTTCTCCGGTCTAGCTGGATTTGTGCGGTAGAACTGGGTCATGGTAGTGGGGGGTTGAGGGGAGGAAGCATTGGGGAACTAGAGGAAAGATGTGCATTTGGTCGGTGCTATACTGCACCTTGGTTGAATTGTCCCTTCCTGATAACTCTTCTGTGGGGGGATGTCCAGTTGTCTACAGATGGGCTTTTAAGGGACCAGGAGCTCCAAATCGCCACCCAATAAAACACAGACTTGCCGACACCAAGTTCATTCTCTCTCCCTCTCTCTCCCTCATGATCGATTTCACAGTCTCATCACTCAGTTTCTACCGCCACCTTGTTTTTTCTTCACAGTCTTTTCTCTCCACCATTTTCTTATTTTTATTTATTTTAGTTTGGTCCCTCACTTGCTCTCTCCGGTCTTTCTCGCTATCTCTCACTTTTATCTCTCTCCCCGTGTCTCTTTCCTCTCCTTTGGGGTCTGTTTCTAGCTGCCCCATCTGCCGTTCTTGTTCTCACCCTCACCTGGACTCCCAGGGTCAGCATCTCTGCCCTCACCTTCTGGCTCTCCCAGGTCTCCATCGCTGACCTTCCTGGTCTCTGCGTGGGCAACCTTGACCCTTCTCGGCCTGTCTCCACTTCCTCCTCCTTGCCTTTGGCACTTCCAACCCCCCCTTACCCCCACCCCCACCCCCCCTCTTCCTCACACTCAGTTCAGGTGGGCAAGGTAAAAGTGACCTAGAGGGGCAGGGCCAGGAATGAAGGGGGTGGGCGGGGTCAAGCGTTAATCTGCCTGGAGCTTTGTGACGCCCCTGGTGAGCGCACCTCTGATTGGCCAGGAGCCCCCTCGTCGTCGGACAGTGCTAAGGTGTGCAGAATCGGAAGCTCCTTGTTCTTGGCTGCACTGCTACCCACAGCCCTGGTTTCCAAAACGTTTGGGCTGCGCAGCTCTGCCACCTAGTCCCAGAGCACCCTCTGGTGGCGGAAACGCCCATAGGCTGGGCCTGGACACTAAGGTGAAGGAAGGTACAAGGTCCCCACTGGTCAGTAAGTCCTCTCGGAGACGGGGAGAAGACAGTAACTGAAGTCAAATAAGGTAACATCACACTCGGTGCTAGAGGACTCAGGGAAGGTCACACGTGCAAGACTCGGAAGACTTAGAGAAAGGGGGAGAGGCTAGGGAGAATGGGGGCCATTCAGATTCTCATCCGCAAGTACTTTGAGCCCATGACGCTACCTCAGTGTGTAGCGAATGACCTCTTGGTTTTGTTTTTGTGTTTGCAAACGAACCGAACCCCCTTTTTCAAAACCATTTTATTGGGAGCTCGTACAACTCTTATCACCATCCATACAACATCCATGGTGTCAGGCACATTTGTACATTTGTTGCCATCATCATTCTCAACACATTTGCTTTCTACTTGAGCCCTTGGTATCAGCTCCTCATTTCCCCCCTTCCTCCCCGCTCCCCCCTCCCTCATGAACCCTTTATAATTTATAAAGTATTATTTTATCATGTCTTACACTGCCCGACATCTCCCTTCACCCACTTTTCTGTTGTCCGTCCCGCAGGGAGGAGGTTATATGTAGATCCTTGTAATCGGTTTCCTCTTTCCACCCCTCCACTCTCACCACTGGTCCTAAAGGGATCATCTGTCCTG